AGACAAAACAAAAACAAAAACAAAAACAAAAACAAACGAGAGTACGTAGTAGAATAAGATANAATATATATATATATAGTAGTATATATATATATATATATATATTATATATATATATATATATATATATATATATATATAGACTCACCTGATATATCTGTTGTGGCATTGATGATGGGGGTTGTTGTGAGTATGGTTGTGTCATGGGCAGAGAGGGTGTTCTCATATGTGTGGTGTCATGCGTCGATGAAACGGAATCCCGCGTACCCTCCGACAGATTTGGAATGCTATTTGGGAGTGATTTCGATACCGTCTGCGAAGTCGTGAGATCATTTTGTGAGTGTCCTTGCTCAATTTGTGTGAAAGCGATTGCATCTGATAATTCGATATACATACAGAATCGTATGCACGTCATTTGGAGATGAGGCACGTCTTTGAATCGTGTACAGGGATTAAAAAACAAACAAACAAACTGAACTTGAACATTGCTCCGTGTGTATGCACACGTACATGTATTTCTCTGCAGCTTAATGCGGAGAATTGTACGCAAAATTACATACACTCGTATTTGTACGTAGTAGTCTGACTTTAAAAATCTGATAGTTGGTAAGACTACTTCAAGTACAGTCATATATTGTACTTTAGTATAGGTTTGCTAGGGATGTACAGTCATACATTGTCCTAAGGTTTGCTAGGGATGTACAGTCATACATTGTACTATAGTATAGGTTTGCTAGGGATGTACAGTCATAAATTGTACTAGAGCATAGGTTTGCTAGGAAGATTCAGTCATATATTGTACTATACTATAGGTTTGCTAGCGATGACAATCTTTTCACCCAATTCACGGCAAGCCGTGTGTGCTGTGAGTCCGTGTATGTCTGGCCTACGATCATATATGAACGCAAGTAGCCATTAATATCAAATCCCTACGGGCATATCCGTAACCCAGTACGCCTGTAAACGAAAGCATCGACACTGCACATAATCGCACCGAGAAAACAAATATATGTCGCACCTCCTACGCCTTTACTGTAGGGTATATATAGACCTGTGTGCGGATAAATAAGACGTGCGCAACCAACACTAAATGCACTTACGGATCTAGTACACGCTTGTGCATGTACACAAACATGAACTCCATTTACGGATACACTGCACTTTTGCATACCTCCGCCACAGGCGCCTCCAACCCCCGCAGTTCGTCGCGACTAGAAGTGCCACTCACACTCCCCGTACTCTGACTAGCCATGCTGGTGTTTACATCTGCATATGAACCCACACTTTGAATAGCGTTTGCATCAGTGTTGTATGCCTGAGCTTCCTCGGTAGCGGACCCGTTTAACGTTGGGGTTGGAGTTGGCTTGGGAACACTATCTTCTGAAGTGGAATCGCGCGGTGGGGGTACAGGGGTGTGGCCCAGGTCTGTGATTTGCTGTGAGAGTGCCTGTGCAATGAAGGGTTATGCAGTGTTACAGGGAATTCCTATAAAGGGGTGCTACAGATAGGCTTAGTGGCATGTACATTCAGACACATCGTCATGAACATTCAGACACATCCCGCTGTCGTACTGTTAGTATAATTATGTGGTCTTCCGATTGATTATGCTACTAAAAATAAACGTATTCCATACTTTACGAACGGGGCTGACGGTAGTAGAGTAGTGTGCAATTGTCCATTGATACTAAAGCAGGTGGTTAAACACTCAGACGTCCACAAAAACCATGCTGGTGCCTATAGGGTTGTAGTAATCGTTTCCTTACACCCATGTACGCATCTCCGGACACCCAGGCAGGACGTTTGATAAAACCAGCCAACCACATACGGTATTATGCTCATCCTCAAACGCCAAGAGTAGTATCAAATCCTCAACCTCCACGCGTGACCCTCGCACACTGGCCTCCAGTTGCTGCACTAGTTTCCTCAGTTGCGCGTTCTCGGTTTTGAGATTCTCTATTTCGGACAGAGACGCCATGGACATGGTCCCACCCCCACTCCCTCTGAATTGAGGCTAACAAGGACAAAGAAGCAACTTAGCCACACGAGTTAACACACAGATTTCCACATCAGTTCCCGTTCCCGATTCGAGATTTTTGGTCCAGAATATTGGCAATTCTACTTTCAAAACTTTCAAGATGGCGCCTCCTCTACGACTAGAAAGATGTGAAGTCTGCATTAACGATCGTATGTACCCGAAATTAATGCTGAACGTCCGTGTGAGATAAAGCGTCGATGATTAGCACACATTGTAATCCTCTACATATGAGAGCTCTTTTAAAACAAGTCATAGTTTTATTGCAGCGTCCTGATACCGAGATGTACACACACAGATACGTTGTATGGAATACATTAAACAAACACTCGGCCAGAATAGTAAATAGCTCCGTGAGCACTGAAATTATCAGAGTACTAGCATGACATGTATGCATCACAGGTATATATATACAATCAGAAACATATATATATATATATATATATGTATACATACATACATACATACATACATATATATATATATATATATATATATATATATATATATATATATATATAGTATATATATATATATATATATAGTATATATATATATA